GGAAAGCACTGCTCAGCAACCCCTCAGATTAGCCAAGGAGGAAGACTCACTTCTGAAGCTGGGCCTTGTTTATTAGACTACCTACGCAGTGAGGTAGCAGGAAGAACAGTTACCCCACCGTGGGGACTAGTTGTGTTACTGATGCTCAAAGTAACTTAGACTCATGTCTAAGAAACTTAGATTTGAAAGAGCAAGAAAGGAGAAGGAAGCTCCTCTATAGGGTATTTACAGAGGCACAAGAAGATAGCGGGGAGATTCCCATATCCCTCCCCCCATAAGAGCAACTCATTGATAGACCAAGAGGAGGTCTGGGAACACACCAGTTCCCAGAACCTCTGTGTGCATGGTGACTTCAGGGTATGTGCTCAGCCAACAATCTGTCACCAACAGAAAGTTGCATCTAACATTGAGGGGACTTTTATGATGTACGAAAACAGCTCTGAAGCTCCATCCTGGTTCAGCCAGATCAAGCACAAGAAGATTAGCAAGTCATAACCATAACTGCTAGACCCTCAAGTTCTTCATAGCAAAGAGCAGCACCAGAGTCATTTGACTTCAGAAATTATATTAACCTTATTTGTTTCAAGTCAGAGAGCTAGAATCCATGCATGCAAGAAGTATCTAGGTCTACTCAAGCAGAGATTACAGAAATCAAGAGATGCCTGGCACCAGTCCATGAAGCACTGCAGACATCCAGCACGTAACACAGGCTGCTCAGCAGTGGCTTTCCTGGGTGGTTCTGGCAGCCCCAGCGTGCAACAGCTACGGCCCAGGATGAAGTACTCACTACTGAGTGGGTTGTCTGGAGGCTGAGAGCCTTCTCCCTCTCCTAACAGGAGACTTTCTGACTCTGGGTAACACCACAGACTTGCCGTGGACCAACAGGGAAGATGATCCTCTCCAGCAGATCTTAGCTAGGTAGCTTCTCCTGGTCCTCATCTGGGCTCTGCCCACCCAGCACAACCTCATGTTTGATGCTTTCCACATTCAACAGTGCACGATGTCCAAGTTCTACCATGCCAGCAGCAGCCACCACCCATGGAGCTGCAAGCAGGACCTTGAGACCAGCCACTCTCCTTCAGAGGGAGGGGACCAAGAGGACACATGGGATAAACAGACTTCAGACACCTGCTTTGGACATCTAGACAGCCTGCTACAGATTTCTCCTGCTCCCCACGGACCTACAACTTGCCAGTGACCTCCTGGGAGAGCAAGGATGAACTTCCAGAGTAGAAACAACACTTCTGCATCAGACACCCAAGACAGCAGGGTGAACACACAGGATCCTTATAGAGATACAGCCAAAAACACAACACACAGCGTCCATGGTAGGCAAGCAAGGCTCCTCCAGCTGCTGGGAAAAGCTCTGCCTGCACTGGGGGTGTGGAGCACCCAGGCAGCTGCCCATCTCACTCTACCCTTGGGGAACACCAGGGCATACGCTGTCACATAGACTGGCGGCTGCCTGGAAAACTAAACAGAAGATAGCAGCAAGTGGGGAGGGATCGGGTTTGGGGAGGTGTCTGGTGAGGAACAGCAGGGACTGACATTAGGCCCTGTTTGTTTAACATTCCCGTTAACGACCTCGAGAGG